GGCAGGAAGGCAGGAAGGCAGGAAGGAAGGCAGGAAGGAAGGCAGGAAGGCAGGAAGGCAGGAAGGAAGGAAGGCAGGAAGGAAGGAAGGCAGGCAGGAAGGAAGGCAGGCAGGAAGGCAGGAAGGAAGGCAGGAAGGAAGGCAGGAAGGAAGGCAGGAAGGCAGGAAGGAAGGCAGGAAGGAAGGCAGGAAGGCAGGCAGGAAGGCAGGAAGGAAGGCAGGAAGGAAGGCAGGAAGGCAGGAAGGCAGGAAGGCAGGAAGGCAGGAAGGCAGGAAGGAAGGAAGGCAGGAAGGCAGGAAGGCAGGAAGGCAGGAAGGCAGGAAGGCAGGAAGGAAGGAAGGCAGGAAGGAAGGAAGGAAGGAAGGAAGGCAGGAAGGAAGGAAGGCAGGAAGGAAGGAAGGAAGGAAGGCAGGAAGGAAGGAAGGCAGGAAGGCAGGCAGGAAGGAAGGAAGGCAGGCAGGAAGGAAGGCAGGAAGGAAGGAAGGCAGGAAGGAAGGAAGGAAGGAAGGAAGGCAGGAAGGAAGGAAGGAAGGAAGGAAGGAAGGAAGGAAGGAAGGAAAGAAACTTACTTAGACAGAAAAGTTAAAATGGGTACCGAACAGCAAACTCTAGGACTTCCACAGCTACCGGGAACCAGCACAGGGCTGGCACCTCCATTGACCTCTCTTTGCTATTCTAGAATATTTTAATGAGACACACCCAAAATATGTTTAGCATCACACCACCTGCTGCTTCTCATGGCCAGCATGATTTGTCATCAAATCTGATCCCAATGTTTGCCATATGATTGGATATCCCGTGAAACAGAATCTAAAACAATACATTTTTTCCCTTTAAATCGGTCCTAATCTTACAACTAGGGTTGCCACCGTAACATTGTTATCTATTTCATTTTACTTTCTGGGATTAGATAATAATATTAAATTCCCCTTCTCATGTTAGTCTCTGTTTGAACTTGGCCTGGTATTTGAAGAATATATTTAGAAATTAAAGCGTGCTACTTTTTATCCCATGCAAGCCGGTTACGGGATCATAGATTTGTGGGATCTCATGACATTTTCTGTCCTGAACTGAACACATCCAGTCTCTCCAAACTGAAGTTCCTCAGCTGAGGTTATTTTCATCTCAGAGAATTTCTCAAGTGCTGTTTCTGTTATAGAGGATAAAGGGATAGAGGAATCACAGCTGCCTAAAGTCAGTGTCTCCTTCCATACAGGCCTTCCTTGCCTCCAGGACTTGAAGTCTTCCTCTAGTGGAGCGTAGCTCCTCAATGGAAGAGGGCAGGATTAAGGGAGAGTTGAAGCAGTAGGTTCACCTGGCCTCATGCTTTTCTCTTGTGTGGCTGCTGATACAGGGACCTTCAGGCATGTTCTAGGAAAGCCGATTAAAGCAGAAAAGCCCCTTAGAACCAAGTCGATTGCCCCCAGTATGGCGGTTCAACTTTGAGAGAGCAGCTGGGTGTTTTTTGTGCCCCCGATAGTGCCAGATTGTTCATGCTGCCTTAGGCTTTCCTGTAAGATTTTTGAGAACCCTTGTTATATCTAGTTTAGTGAAATGTATTGATCAGAACAAAAAGGGCCGATGTACTGACTCCAGGATAAACTCACAGAGAGAACCATACATTTCTATTTGTTAGATTCTGCAAAGCACCCAAGTCAAACAAGATTATTCCCAGGGTCATGACCATACAGCATTTTATCTGTGAAGGACAGATAGTTTAAGACTTTTATTTCCATTTGATTAAATATGGAAATAAACAACCAATTTATTTTCAGAAATGTACATCATCTCTGATTCTTAAATTGGAAAGCACCTGATTTTCTTCTTGCTTTCACTTTGTAACTGCTGTGTGCTATTTTGATTCTCTAGAAAGAGTTAAACTTCTCATAGACATTAAACCCAAGTGGAAATAGTTGGCCCAAGGCCTAAACTTGTTCTTTATGAGAAATACAAGACTCTAAGGGATTTTAGCCTTTTTAGAATTATCACAGAATGTGTACAGGAAGCATGACATTGGCAGAAAGGGAACATAGGTGCCTTTTACCATTTTTATATGGACATGGATTCTGGGTTTTACAGATAGGGAAATATTGTATGAGTCCATGGGGATATGTAGTGAAATGGAGAGGGAGAAAGGGGCGGGGGAGATAGAGATAGAGAGAGAGAGAGACAGAGAGAGACAGAGAGAGACAGAGAGAGAAAGAAAGAGAGAGAGATTATTTTGTACTTTCAGACTGAGCAGTATACCCAAGTCAGAGAAACAGGAGTATAAAGGCAAGTACAGAATAATCTGGAATAATGTCATTATTCTTTGTTCTTTTTACTTCTTTATTGGGCATCTCAGAGAGAGAACACAGTTTCTCAAAGTGGATGGAAAGTGTATTCAAAAAATTTAACCCACAATAACCAAAACAATCTTGAAAAAGAACAAAATTGAAAATTCCTACTTCCTGATTTTAAAACTGACTACAAAGCTTAAGTAATCAAGACAGTGTAGAGCTGGCATAGACTAGGCAGAGAGAACAACCGATCAGAATTGAGCTTCCAAAAATAAACCCATACATCTATATGGTAATTGATTTTCAAACAGAATGTCAAGCCTATTCAATAGGATAAGAATGTAAGAATGTTTCTTTTCAACAAATGGTGCTGGTCCAGCTGCTTTTCCACAGGCAAACAAATGAATCTGGAACCCTACTTCACACCATACACAAGAATTAAAATGGATAAAAAGACCCAAGTGTAAAAGCTAAAAGTATAAAACCCTTAGAAGAAAACATAGGCATATATTTTTGTGACCTTGGATTTGACAGTGGTTTTGTTTTGTTTTGTGTTGTTTGAGATAGAGTCTTGCTCTGTCACCCAGGCTAGATTGCGGTGGCGTGATCTCGGCTCACTGCAACCTCTGCCTCCTGGGTTCACGAGATTCTCCTGCCTCAGCCTCCTGAGTGGCTGGGACCACAGGCGTGGGCCACCACACCCAGCCAATTTTTGTATTTTTAGTAGAGATGGGGTTTCACCATGCTGGTCTTGAACTCCTGACCTCAAGTAATTTGCCTACCTTGGCTTCCCAAAGTGCTGGGATTACAGGTGTGAGCCACCGTGCCCCACTGGCAGTCATTTCTTAGTTATGACACTTAAAGCACAAACAACTAAAAAAACAGAGAGACATCAGACTTCATCAAAATTAAACATTTTTGCGTGTCGAAGGAGACTATCAAGAAAGCAAAAATAAAAAACCTATAGAATAGGAGAAAATATATGCAAATTATGTTTGATAAGGGTCTAGTATCTAACGTACATGAAGTACTCTTACAATTCAACAATAAAGAGACAAATAGCTCAATTTAAAAGTGGGCAAAACATGTGAATAGGCATTTCCTCTCCTATATGAATGGCCAGTAAGCACATGAAAAGATGCTCTACATAATTAGCCATCAGGGAAGTAAAAATCAAAACCTCATTAGATACCACTTCACACTCACTAAGATGCTATAATAAATTTCTTTTAAATATAAAATAGCAAGCATTGGCATGGCTGTGGAGATTGGAACCCTCATATATTGATAGTGGGAATATAAAATTGTGCAGCCACTTTGGAAAAGTTTCACAGTACCTCAAAAAGTTAAACTTACCATGTGACCCAGCTCCACTCCTAGGCATATACCCAAGAGAATTGAAGACACACGTTTATACAAAAACTTGTACATGAATGGTCATAGTAGCATTATTAACAACCCAAATGTCCATCATCTGATGACTGAGAATCACAATGTGACATATGCATACTAGACAAATAGAAGAAAAAACATTTTTTTTTTGAGACAGGATCAGGATCTCTCTCTGTCACCCAGGCTGGAGGGCAGTGGTGTGGTCTTGGCTCATTGCAGCCTCTGCCTCCCGGACTCAAGCTATCCTTCCACCATCCCCAGAGCCCTCGCTTCCTCAGCTGGTAGCTGGAATTATCAGCGTACACCACCACTACACCCAGCTAATTTTTGTATTTTTTACAGAGACAGGGTTTCCCCATGTTGCCCAGGCCTACCTCTCTCATCCTCCCGAAGTGCTGGGATTACAGAGGTGACCTCTGCACCCAGCCCAGAAAACCTCTTATACATTAGCAGCCACTCCTTCTTTACCACTCCCCACAGCCCTTGGCAACCACAAATCTGTTTTCTGTCTCTATGGATTTGCCAATTCTGGACATTTCATATAAATAGAATCATACAGTATGTGGCCTTTTGTGTCTGGCTTTGTGTGTGTGTGTATGTGTCTTTGTGTCTGGCTTCTTTCGTTAGCATACTGTTTTTAAGGTTCATACATGTTGTAGTATGCGCCAATACTTCATTCCTTTTTATTGCCAAGTAATACTATATTGTCTAAAGCAAGTCTAATTTAAAGGAAAAAATATATATATTTCATTGTATGATTATACCACAGTTTCTTCACCCATTCATCAACTGATGGACATTTGGGTTGTTTCCACATTTGGGGCTCTTAGGAAGAATGCTGTTTATAAGCATTTGTGAATAATTTTTTGTGTGGTCATGTTTTTACTTTTCTTGGGTTTCTGTGTATATTTTAAAGGCTGTAAAAACTTTCCTGATTTCTATAATAATGAGTCCTTTATTAACAAGTATAAAGCTTTCTCATCAAAAGACAGAAAACTGACTCCATTTTTTTTTTTTTTTTTTTTGAGATGGAGTCTTGCTCTGTAGCCCAGGCCAGAGTGCAGTGGCACCATCTCTGCTCACTGCAACCTCCACCTCCCTGGTCCTGGCTCAAGCGATTCTCCTACCTCAGCCTCCCAGGCACCAGCCACCATGCCCAGCTAATATTGGTATTTTTTAGTAGAAAAGGGGTTTCACCATGTTGGCCAGTCTGGTCTTGAACTCCTGACCTCGTGATCCACCCGCCTGGGCCTCCCAAAGTGCTGTGATTACTGGTGTGAGCCAGCGTGTCCTGCCAAACTGACTCCATTTTTTCTTTTTTATCACAGCATCACATCCTTAGAACATCGAGGGGTCAAAAGGAACTAAGACACCTTCTGAGTGAGACCCTGATTCTGTTGAAAAGGCCTAGAGTGGTGGGGTGACTGCTACTGGTAAGACAGCCAGGTGGGACAGACACAGAACCATGATCTCCCAACCTACATCGCCTTCTCATCTAGACGGACATCGTCTTTAACCCCATGAGTTTTACCCAGAGTGAACCATCAGTCTTTCCAGAGTCTGGGAGGAGAATGTTTCCATGGTGAAGATTACTTCCCAGAGTGGGACCTGAGTGGGTAGTAGACCTCCCCTACCTCCCCCAAATCATTCCCCTTCTCCATAACTTGCTACAGTATTTGCAATTCCACTGGCAGCCAATCCACTGGTTGAATGGAGGGCTTACAAATGAATGGCCTATGGGGGCCAGAGGGTGATGAAACAGAGTGGATTGGGCAAACTGGCAAGCTGGAAAGTTCATGCCCCCCACAAAAGAGCTCAGGACACAAACCGCAGGATCTGTGTTCATGAAACATCTTGGGGGCTTGGGTTGAGCAAGTGGCTTTTGAGCCCAGGCTGCAAGATTTGCCATGGGGGCCATGCTAGCCTCCCTGATCCATGGAATAGTGCTGGCATTCTAAAATCTCAGAGATGCCACTACAGAGGAAAGCTGGGCATTGCAGGGCAAAGCCCTCATAGTGGCCACCAGCACAGTGGCACGAAACTTGAGCAGAAGAGGAAGGGTGGGCTTGTTCCTGAGCACCAGCAGATGCAACTACCCTTTTGTTAACTGGGGAGAACCTTTGAGGAGATGGAGGTGAATGTTTTATGTCGGGGCTGAGAGCCATCATAATTCAGACCATAACAATACAAACAAGGGCCAGCAAGCCTAAGAAATTTAAGATTCATCTCGAAAACAGTATTCTCTGTTTAGCAGCATATAGACTATAGTATAATCCAAATGACTTGATTACCTCTTGGCTTGCATTAGCAAGATGCTGTCATCTGAATAAGTGTAAATCTCAACTCTATTAGCTTAGAAAAGTCATACAACTCATTGGGGCTTCAGATGGCTGTTGCTTGGTTTTGCTCTTTGCCTTGCTATGTGCATATGAATGCACAGATGACAAGAACAGATGCCAGAGCCCCTGGAAGATCAAAGTGCTGGTGCTGCCTTAGAAAATCTGCCCACGCCACATTTCTAAATCTGCAGGAAGGCTGCAGTAAATAAGCAATATGTATTTGTTCCATTGAATGAAATCTAAAGCAAACCTATCATAACCACTCCCATGGAAGACCAAAGCACGTGTGCAGACACTGGGACCTAAAACAAGAAGTAGTACTTTTGGGGACACAACTGTCACTGCTGGTTCCCTACCACCTTAGCATTCGGTATTTCTTCATCTGGATTAATTTGCTGTAATGAAAATATCCTCTGTTTTGTATTGAAACTACCCTAATATTGTTTTCATGGTTACTTTTCCAAAACTGGAAAAAAGAACACGTTGTTTCTAGATTGTGGACAGTGGTTCCAGAGAAGGGAAAACCAGAAGGGTTTTAGGACTCAGGAAAATAGAGTTACCAGAGGGGCCCAGGTGGTTTTCCTTCCATCCTCCCTTTACCATACTCTGAATGTCTCCTTTTTTTTTTTTTTTTTTTTTGAGAAGAAGTCTCGCTCTGTCACCCCGGCTGGAGTGCAGAGGCATGATTTTGGCTCACTACAGCCTTGGCCTCCCGGGTTCAAGCAATTCTCCTACTTCAGCCTCCCAAGTAGCTGGGATTACAGGCATGCACCACCATGTCCAGCTAATTTTTATATTTTTAGAGGAGACAGGGTTTCACCATGTTGGCCAGGCTGGTCTCAAATTCCTGACTTCAAGTAATCCACCCACCTTGGCCTCCCAAAGTGATGGGATTACAGGTATAAGCCACTGTGTCCGGCCTGAATATATTTTAAAAAATTATTTTGGAAGGTTTTCTGGCTTGCCCTTGCACATTTCTAGCCTTTTCTTTCTGGCCCCAACACTGATCTCCCATGGGTCTCTTCTCCATTGCTTCTCCGTGTTGGCAGGCCCATACTTTGTGTGGCTTCTCTCTCCTATTTACTGAAAAGCTCATAATTACTTTTCTCTTGTGGATAAAAATAAGCAGAATGCCAGTAGTATGATTTTTAAAAAGAGAAGCTCCCCAAATGCCTATCGTGACCGCATGGAATCATTCTGATGAGAACATGCTGAATCAATCGATCCAGCATTGTCTGCAAGGCTCAGTTCAACTGGCTGAATCCATTATCCCGTAAACTGTGCGACTTTCTCTAAAGATATTTCACCACCACAGCTGCATCAAACAAATGTTGAATGGGAAAAAAATCAAAAGTAGATATTCTTAAGATATCCCAACATCATTAAGGCTGTTTTTCCGCCGAAACCCGCATCTGGTAGTAAAATCTTTCTTTTTCAGACATTGTTTTTCTCTAAAGAATCACCCCAAGGCTGCCACCGTAGCAAAGCTCTCTAGCCATTTATATATTGTGGGTTTTAACAAGCGTGTCTTCCAGGCTGACTCTGGCTGGTAGAGGTTATCACCCATTCCTCAATGGGCACCAATATTCTGACGAGTTCATGACATTCGGTTTAAGAAATTACCTATGGCCAAAAATTTTGATTGGCAAGGTTAGCACATTTTGCCATATGGTATGTGCTATCTCTGTTCCCAGATATGCAACTCTTGTGGTGTGACAAATTGTTTGTGGGACAATACACGTTGCAGCCCAGACAGTTAGACAAAACACCCCATCAGAGCTGAAACCGGAGTCTAGGTCTCAGAACAAGAAATATGCAAAATCACACCTGCCGGCCAACATTGCTGCTTGCGTTTTGCTCTTCTTTTTTTTTTCTTTACCACAAAGAAAATTAAATGTAAAATCAATTTCATATTGAGCAAAGGACCCAGGGTGAGGTTCCCACATACACTTAATTGAGTCAGCGATATTTTGTGTGGCCTACCTATAGCTTGAGTGGTACAGCCAAGCGTAAGCTGTTTGTGATTTGGAATTTAAATCCTTATGTTTAATTATTGCCAGTCTCATATAGCATACAATGGCGGACAGCACAGCAGAGTTAGCCTTAACAGTTATCTGTGGTTTGGGCCTTGTTATCTGTTTAAGATCAATATATTCTAACAAAAATTCTTGCCATGGTTACATTCTCATGTGTTCTGCTATTAGGACTCAGTATTTAAAATACTTGAAGGCAAGAATTTTTCTTGGAAGGTGATATTATTGGGAGTGGTAGAAACTCATTTTTGAAATCCATTTTGAAATGAAAAAGTCTTAATGTTATTGAACTTCAAAAACTTGTCTTTTCAAGGGATAGTTTTCTTCTGATGATATAGTGAAATGAGAATGTTGTGCTGTCTTGAGTAAAATGTGTGGTATTTGTGTCTGTTGGGTATTAATGTGTATTATGTGCATTGGAATTATAGGCGCCTTGTATATTTTAAGCAATGAGAAAGGGTCCACAATTTTATAAGCTGTGTGTGTATGATCGATCTATCTATCTATCTATCTATCTATCTATCTATCTATCTATCTATCTATCTATCTATCATCTTTACTTATATATAATAAAATATATATACAACTTTGCCACTGGGAGCACTGTAAGTTCCTACAACCACTTACAGCTTAAGAATTGTGCCAAATTGGCCAGGTGTGGTGGTTTACGCCTGTAATCCCAGCACTTTGGGAGGCCAAGGCAGGCAGATCACCTGAGGTCAGGAGTTCAAGACCAGACTGGCCAACATGGTATGATGAGATCCCCTGTCTCTACTAAAAATACAAAAATCAGCTGGGTGTGGTGGCACATGCCTATAATCCCAGCTACTCAGGAGGCTGAGGCAGGAGAACTGCTTGAACCTGGCCAAAAATTTTGATTGGCAGATGGAGATGGAGATTGCAGTGAGCTGAGATTGTGCCACAGCACTCCAGCCTGGGCAACAGAGTGAGACTCTGTCTCAAAATAAAGAAAAAAAAAAAAGAATTGTGCCATATCAAAAGCCTGTTCTTTGGAGGTTTTGTAAATCTGTAGTGCAAAGTAGGTGCTTGACACATATTTTCATGAGTTCTGTCATCATCACTGAATCAAATGCAACCTTAGTCTTTTCGGCCCATTCTGTCAGCCTAGTCCCAGTTTCCATTTTGCAGTGTCCTCTCAGGAGGCCATGCAATGCCTGTCATCCAAGTCCATTTTGGATCCTTTGGTCATTTTTCTTCTTATCCCTCAAACTCCATGTTCAACTCATCAGTAAATTCTTTCTCTGCCATCTCAAAAGCATTTTCAATGAACTTCTTTCTAACTCAACTCCACACCCTTAATTTTCACTACAGATGCTCCTCAATTTGTGATGTGGTTATCTCCTAATAAACCCATAACAAATTGAAAATATCTTAAGTTGAAAATACATTTGATACCTCTAACCTACCAAACATCATAGGTTAGCTTAGCCTGCCTTACATTAGTCTCTAATTGGGCAAAGTCATCTAATACAAAGCCTGTTTTATAATAAGGGGTCAAATAGCTCATGTAATTTATTGAATACTGTACTGAAAGTGAAAAACAGAATGGTTGTACAGGTACTTGAAGTATGGTTTCTACTGAATGTGTATTGCTTTTGTACCACCACAGAGTTGAAAAATTATAAGTTGACCCATTGTAAGGCAGGGATCACCTGTACTTCCATTTCTCATCTGGAAACTACAGTAGCCTCCTAAATATGCTTCCTGCTACCCCTCTGGCCCCTCACTGATCCTTGATCACAGAGCAGCTGGAGTGATCATCAAAACACATACATCAGATCATATGACTTTCCTTCTCAAAACTTTGGACGTCTTCCCACATCTCTTGGAATACATCCTAAATTCCTTAGGATGGCCACATCTTATTTCCTGGTTCCTGTATCTCTCTTCAACCTTGTCTCATAATCTCACCTTCCCCCTTTCTTGCTCACCACATCTCTCGTCCTGGTTCCTTTTGATTCTGGAACAAGTTAAGCTCTTTCCAGTCTAAGGGCCTTTGCATCTGTTGTTCCCTCTGACCAAAGTGTTCACATAACCCCA